GTCGGATGCTTTTTCTTTTATTTCATCGAACACCACATTTATTTTGTCTTTTATTTCCGACGAATGGAAATTCTCTTTTATTTCGTTGAATCTTTGCTTGACTTCATCTTGACTAGGCAGTTTATTTGATACGTCGGATGCTTTTTCTTTTATTTCATCGAACACCACATTTATTTTGTCTTTTATTTCCGACGAATGGAAATTCTCTTCCATTTCATTGAATTTTTCGTTGAATTTTTGCTTGACTTCATCTTGACTAGGCAGTTTATTTGATACTTCGGATGCTTTTTCTTTTATTTCGTCAAACACAACATTTATTTTGTCTTTTATTTCCGACGAATGAAAATTCTCTTTTATTTCGTTGAATGTTTGCTTGACTTCATCCTGACTAGGTAGTTTATTTGATACATCGGATGCTTTTTCTTTTATTTCATCGATCACAACATTTATTTTGTCTTTTATTTCATCATAACTGGGGATATCTTAAAGTTTAGTTAATAAATGAGATTTCGAGATCAAGGAAGTTAGGGTATTAATTTATTTATTACCTAGTTTAAATGACACAATTTCATCCACAATAAATTGGTTCAATACAAAAAGTGTTACGATAAAATACACCCTTAGAAGTCTAATACGAAGAAAAATGTGAGATAATTTGTCAACCGTGTGTATTTATAAATTTATTGAAATAGAAAGATACCCGCTATTAATCATCATCACGTTAGCCGTATAGTTGCTGAATTTTTTAACAGCCTAGATGAAAGATTCGTTGTCTTTTTTAACAGTTTGACTGTTTTAGTTTGTGTTTGGTCACAGAAATACATGTTATTTCATTGGTTTGTAACAAACAAAAAAAAGATTAATTGGTGAGTCACAGATTATCATAGTCATTAATTTATATAAACATGTGATCAAGTGACAAGCTTGGAACCGAGAAAAATAAGACAGAAGTCAATAAAAATATGCATTTTTTTTAACTACGTTTAGAATATACAAATTGACACCTGTAAAACCTAAATATACAATAGAATTTAATTACAGACTGTAACAGTAATGACCGGAACTAAAATTTAATTAGCAGAATATTAATCTGTCTCTCTTTACTTCGCATATTATTATGTGGCTAGCTGCTAAAATCCTGATTCAGGTGCAATTCCGTGTCTGTATATACTTGATTTATCAAGAAAAATAATGCATTTTATATAAATCGAAGATATGTACACGTAAATATGCATACATTTAATTCTAAATTTGTGCCTTTGAAGTATAATATCAACCTCACGTGACCGAACACTTATATACTCAAATTACAAATTAATGAGGATATTATAATAAATTCTGCTAGTGGGATCAATAGAATTATATAAAGTTGATATATATGAGAAAATTTTTATATTAAAAGATCGTCCTACGACCTATGTTGCTATTAACGGGGTGTTAATATCAATAAATTTGAGGGCTGATTTTATAAAGATATTTTTAATGAATTATAACTGAAGGAAAACTATGTAAAATTGTCTTTTTTGCATTTTTTGATCACGGATTCTACTTTAGGGTAATTTTTCGCCGGGATGACAATTATACTAGATATTTTCATTTGTTTGGAGCAATTTTCAAATAAAATACATTATACGATATTATGTACAAAATATAATGGTATAATTCAATTTAAAGTTATTATTTAAATCTTTTATTGTTAAATTCTAATATTAAATGAAGATTAGTACTTGTATAATGTATATGCTTATATTTCATTACTTGTAATTCGGAATATGAAAAGTTACTATGAAATTCTGATAAATTAAAAGTTGTTATATTCGCCAAATCCTTAGACACGTTTCAAGACTACAACATCCTAAATATTATTGTAAATATTAAGTCCGAGAATAGTTTACCACAGAGCATTGCCTATAGCATCTCCCGTATTGTTCAAAAATGCTTTGATGTTGACATTTAATAGTACTAATGCTATACATGATTTTGGATGGAGACTGGATTTCAAGATATTATAGTAAGGTGATACTATATGCAGTGTTCTACAGTAAATTTTTAATAAAAAAATAGAAACTTGCCTTTTTCAATCTATTACTTTACTTCTATATCAAACTAAACGAATTCTAAATATAAGGTACATGTATAATCCAGAGCTAGAATAATATTTTATGTTATTATTTTGTTATTTATTTGAGAAATATTTCAATACTTAAATTCGGGATAATAACTAATGGGCCTCATGCATTTTTCTTGGAAAATAAAGCTGATATTATGTTTTATATGTAGTTGTAGTGCGTAGTCCGATTCTAAAAACAAAACGATGGTGTAACGACTGAAATGATGGAATTCTCCTAAATTTACACTTTAAACCTTTTAGAAATTTAAAACCATGCGACGACAAACCAGAAGATTCGCAAAGTTCCACGAGTTCCTATTGACAGTGCACACCGACTAAATTTGATTTTATCGCATGTTTAAAGTCTATTACAAAAAATCTTGGTATTAAAATTATCAAATGTTACTATTTATGGGTGGATCGATTCGGAAAAAGATGGCCGGTGCATAAGAGCAATATATCATTTATTACTTTATCGTTAGACTTACAAAATTCGACATCTCAACGATAAAATATCACAAAACTGCGAAAAGGTAAATTCCAGGCACTAATCTTAGTCGTAGACGACCATTGTCTCACGAAACCGGTAAATTTTAAAAGAAATTTATGTTATACGTGTAAACAATTCAAAGTTCTTTACAACAGCCGCATTGGCCTAGAGCTTTTGTGCCGTTATATAGTGCTATTATTAGTAAATTCGGAGTATAAGCCGTTTTAGCATATGTAGTTAGAAATTTGTTCATTGATGTGGCTTCGATAAAAAGCCGAGTCCGGTGTATATGGCGTCGCCGTTGTAAGGACTTTGATTGCACGTATCTGGGCTCGTGATTAAAGACCGGTTATTCTTGGTTAAATGCTTGACTGATTTGTTTCACAGTGAATATAAAAAAACAATAACGAAGATATTTCTAATACCATTACACACAAACTCATATAGTAGAGAACAATTTCCATTTAATGAATTTTCTCTATTAATTTAAAAAATTATTAGTTATCATAAAAGAAACATCCAACCCATTATTTTCTAGAAATCAGTCCGATAATGCACATTCCAGCTCTGTAGTTTTAGTGTCTTCATAGTAAATTTCAGAAGTCGGTGAAGTTAATAATGTAAATGAAAATTTTTTAAATTGATATTTTGGAGCTTCATGATTACGAAAGAAGTTGCGTAAATTACCAAGAAACAAAAGAAGCCTTTTGTACGAAGAGCACAACGTAAATATACATTGTTCGATAAAATCGAAGAAAAATATACGAATATATTATCATCATTAGTACAATAATTGGGTTGTTTTACTCTAAACATATTTTTCGTTTTTGAGGTGTGTTTTTGGGATTCACAAAAAACAGAATCCAGTCGCCTCCCGCTATAGTCATCATCCGACAGAAATTTGATGCGATTATAGCGGAAATGAAAATTATGGGTGCCGCCCAACATTCCGACACCCATCTTCCCGACACTCAAACATCTCGACAATCCATCTTCCCGAAAATCAAACTTCCGACAATCCAACATCCCGACAATCCAACTTCTTAAATTTAAACCTAACTCTTCCCAACTTCCCAAAAAACAAGATTAATTTCTGGTTTATGTCTGGAAATGGAGTCTGGCGGGAAGTCGGGTATGACAGGATGTTTTATTGTCGGGATGTTAGGCTGTCGGGATGTTGGATTGTTGGGAACAAGAAGAGAATGATATTGAAAATTACTATGAGCAGGAATTTATTAATTACGAAAATGTATGAATTAATTTTAATTGTTATAGCAATAACAAACAATACTCATTAGCATGATAAATCTACCTCTTTATTGCTAAAAAACTCTACTTACAAGAATGCTTCCATCTTGAGATAAATTCCGTGATTTTTGTCTTTTATAAAGAATATTAAACCTCTCCTTACAAAAATATTGCCTACTGAATGACAAGTATGTAAATTTAACAAGGAATAATCATTGTTCACTCTTTCAAATCATACATACTTCACATATAAATACATGGTGTATCTAGGTATTTTATATGTATTTTACACATTTAATTCCCTGCTGGATAATATATCATAATGCAGTCATTAGGCCATCGGATCAAATTTAAAAAAAATCCGGTAACTTTGGGACGCGATACCTCGACATCCAATAATGTTGGTCAAAAAAAGAATCTTTAGATTCCCCTAGATTAGATGAATCTAGTATTTTTATTTTTGACCATTGGATGCCGAGACATCGCGTCCCAAAGTTGACCGAATTTTTAAATTTGATCATTACATGTATAATGTGACGTGTTTTAAATCAGAATTTGCAGTAAATTACTGCGCAGAATGAGTAAACTAGAATATACTCTTGAATTTGATTGGTTAATAAAACCTTTAATCCTAATCCTAAAACTGAACATGTACATGCAGTGTAGAACAACGAAATAACATGTAGTTCTGCGACCACAACACAAGCATGTGAAACAATTAAACAGTAAAAAAGACAACGAATCTCTCTTTCATCCTGTTAGATACTCTTGAAAAAAATGACTGACATGATAATGCTAAATAGCAGGTATATTCTCATACACTTTCAAAAATTTATACAGACACATAGTTAACAAACTATTTTACATTTTTCTCGTATTAAATTTTCTAAGGGTATACTTTATCGTAACGGTAACACTTTTTGTATTGAGCCAATTTACTGCGGATGGAATTCCAATTGCATCGTCCGATGTTTTAGAACGAATGTTTGTTTCTATTGACGTTCCGTCATTTGAACTAGGTAATAAAGTTTTTAGTGAATTAATTTTTGAGTTTCTTGTTTACCTCAAAATTTTACCCGAGTATTTATCACCTAAACTTCAAGATATCGATGTCCCCAGTTATGATGATATGAAAGACAAAGTATCCGTTATGATTGAAACCCTCCCCAACTACGACGAGATAAACGACAAAGCATCCGTTTTGTTCGAAACCCTACCCAGCTACGACGAAATAAAAGAAAAAGCATCCGACGTATCAAATAAAATACCTAGTTATGATGAAATCAAGCAAAACTTTAACGAAATAAAAGAGAATCTCCCCTCGTCGAGTGAAATAAAAGAAAAAACAACCGAATTCAGGGATTTCGTAACTGAGCACGTTGTGCTTGTTTCCGCAGCAATCGGCGCTGCTTTGGTAGCAGTTGCGCATACCGTTTTTTTCCATGCACTCACATGTTTAGGATTTACCTCAGAAGGAATAAAGTTTGGTAGTTGCGCAAGCTTATGGATGAGCACCAATGGACCTGTGGCGGCTGGGGGTTGCTTTGCTAATTTCCAAAGCGTTGCAGTTACAAGAGCTATATTATCAACTGGTGGATATGTTTTAAGTGGTGTATTTGTGACTGGTTTTGTTTGTTGTTATTTAATATTGAGTCTTTTAAAGTGAATGCTTATTATATAGTGATTTTTGAAAATGCGTTTATACATGTACATGCATTATAATATTTTCTTTAAAGTATATTTTATATTTTATATATATTTTTGACTATATATTGTGCACATTTTTAATACTTATTCTTTCACATTACAACAAACGTAACTTAAAAAATACCTTATAAACCACCCACTCTAGTAGTAGATTATCCAAGATTACCACCTGGGTCTCTATCATAAATACGAGTGCTGAAAAATGCAAGAGACCCCGGTCTGTACTGTAATTCATGATATAAGCCCCTAGTCTCTATCTATTATGAATACGCATACAATATATATATTAATGACTTCTGTTACAATCTCATACATTGCCATTCCAAAGCTATTAGATATATGCAGCGTTAATGTTTTCCATTTAGACTCTGGACTCTTATAAGAAAGTACTCTACAAATTTCTTGGTTAGATTTGTTGGAATAGTTGGTCCAAAATCAGCAGTTTGAGCTTTGAGAGTCATTATTTGTATGAACTTTTCTTCGTTAATTTATTTATTGATTACAAGGATATCATATAAATATTCTAATTTTCTTTCCAATCAATTTTTCGTTCCTATACTCATTTGTAACCGGGTTTTAGTTTCATAACTGAGCTTTAGAGCAGTCTGTTATCTAATGGGCAGGTTGCTTTATAAATTGCCACAAAACCTTCTTTTGCAAGGTATCGTAATTTGCCGCATAAACCATCCTGGAATCTGTTATTAAATCTGTTTAAAATTGATTCAGATCCGGAAGGTCTGGTGTACGGGATTGATATCACGAAGGGTCCTGTACATGGGAGATCTTTATATGGAAACATGCCATGGCAAAGTGATTTTCACGTGTTATTTTTAAGAGGTCAACCAATCAAATCGCAAGATCAATGTGTAACGGAAAGATTTAAAAACAAGCGTTAATTTTTGAAAAATAGCTAGTATCTCGAAATTTTGTCTATGAAGTCATTTTGTGTGTTATAACAAAAATGTTCCTCGCGAAATTTTACTGTAAGCCGTTGTAATGCATACTAGATACAATATAATCTTTAACTCTGACTCTAAACTTAACCTTAACGAAATGTCGTGATCTTGCGATTTGCCATGGCTAAGATATTAATGAAAACAGTCAATTACATGTAGAAACTATCATATTACTATATCAGGCGAGGGAGAATCATTGTGAGTTCAAAGCGAAATTTTTTTTAATTAATTATCTATTTATAACCAGTCATATGATATGACAACCAAAAAATCTCATATTTTTCACATATCATATAGTATGCTCCGGATAATAATGCATATTAATATCTTTTCATAATTGCAGTGTACATGATTTTTCTTTAGTGATAGGAACTTTAAATCAAATTTTTCTAAGAAAAAATAAGTGAAATTTACAAATTAATGAATTATTTTTAATTAGATCTCATATTTTATATCTTCTATTACAAATTCAGTGAAAATTTGTTATAATAAAAAATAATTTATGTATCAAATTTTAATATAATTATCTAAATTAAAAATATAATATCTTATCTTTAATTTAATTTATAGATTTTATTTAAATATAATCAAATCTTAAAAAAATAATTACTATAAAGAAATGTAAATATAAAGTGATTTACAGTGGCGACCAAAAGTAAAGACTCAGGGGCTAAATTTACTAATAAAACATAGTAAAAATTGAAATTTTCTCTCTATATAAAAATTTATAATTTTAA